TGATGCGATTACATCAGTAATCGTCTAAACGATCGCACAAACATCTTCCGACTAAAAAGTCGCATTTATGTTGAGGTTTGCACGTGACGAATCGGTTATTTCGATTAAAGCCCTTTGTATGTGAAACCTCGCGCAAATGCGTCATAACATGCCAGTTTAATTAATTCCGATCAAAGCTTGCTGATTGAATATTAAAAAAGGTTAAAAAACCTAAAACCATCGCTTGTGTAGCACCTGGATATAACGGGTCTTTGTGAACGTCGCGCCATCTGCGCTCGAGGCTTTATGTGATGATAATGAACGCGCTCGCGCCGCACACTCGTGACTGTTCGCGCGCACATGGTGCAACAATAAACGGTTATATGATATCTAAATGCTAATGTGAATATATTTAAATATTCGATATGAGATTAAAACGATTTCTCGACTATTTTAAACGGCGTTCCATCCATCGGGTAGGCTGTGGTGGCTGACTGAAAGTGGGTTAGGCGGTCACCCACCAGCACATCTAACGTTACACAAAACACATTCACACGGTGATGCACATCCGCTCAAAGCAAGCGTGCTAACCATCCACACTGACCAGTTTAGCCAACTCAACAGTTTAAACAACAACCATTTCAGCACTCGTACAGATGGAATGTATGCATGTATGAATGTGTATGTGCGCGCGGTTTTTACCGAGCTGTCCGTCCGTGATGGTCAGGACGATTTCATCCATTAGAAGATAGCGGAATTCAACATCATCCTCGACGCAGCGCTCCTTCAGAGCTCGCAGGATCTGGACCTGCGGGTATTCCTGGCTGATCCGCCGGTCTGTGATAAACCACACCCGGGAACACATGTTTTGGAGCTCGGAGTGCGGAACTTCGGGTAGCTTATAACAGTGACACGAAGCTGAACCCACACAAAGAGCCGCAACACGGTTTAAAAAAAAACAAAACAAAACCCAGTTAATCCGCTCTAGCCAGAACCAAAATCAAGCAAGAACGCACCTAAAATCGATTTTTAACGAACACGCGGTGAGAGGCGGCAATTTTGCCACCCAAATAACCGAAAAAATGATAACGCGCTCCCCCCCACTGAGGGCAACAGTAATTGCCCTCAACACGGGCTAACAAAAGCCTCGATACAGAACTCGGTTCCCTTTTGCTCACTTCGATTCAGACTTCAAAGATATACCGAAAACAATCGCGACAAAATGGAGAGAGGGCGGATGAGAGGCTGGATGTTGTGACGAGTGATGCCCCTGCTGATCTCCGGTGCTCGCGCCGCTCTCAGCTCTACGCCTCGTCTTTTCCAGCACGCGCTTCGCGTTTACAACTCTTTCCCTCGCGCTCATGCACAGCCCGCACCAGCCAATGAGCAAGAAGGGCTTGCACTCACATTAACCAATCGCAGTCCACAGCCCTCACCGCGAACAAATCGGGGGAGAGAACAAGAGGAGGCTCGAGATGTCCGCAGGAACCAATGGGAGATGCGAGGTGAACAAGGCAGAGGGGAGGGAGTGACGTATGCGCCGGCGTGCGCGCGCTCGTTCTCTGCTTGGATTTTTTTGCGTGTGTATGAGCGCGTGGCAGGAATTTCAGCAAGGGAGAGGGGAGGGAGTCTCCAAGAGCGCGCACTACCCCCGAACCGGTTCAGACCGGGCGTGGGGAGGTTTGGTTTGGTTTAGTTTGGATACCAACGCCTGTCTCGCTCATGCTACGTGTTGAAACCATAGACTGTAAAGGTTGAAATGTTTTTTTTTTAAAGAACGGTTGAGCGAAGAATCCCCCCCACCCGAGGAGGTGGGGAATGAGCGCGTCTGCAGGCGCATCCTCACTCTTTTGTGTTTCTCAACCAGCGTTTTCTTAATGTCGTGACGACCCCATAACAACAAAACACTGAAGATTTTTTTTCTTGGAAAGATAACGTTAGATGTCGGATATGGATAGCTTGTCAGTCTAGAAATTCAAGTCAATATATGTCTCACAGCAACGTTAACGGCGTTGTTTAATTTAGTTTGTTGTTTTAGTGACATATACATCGCTTGGAGGCTATTCACACAATTCGTTACGGAAGCAGAACCCTTAACTTACTATTCTTATGTGAGATCAAATCATCCCACGACAAAATGACCCACTTTGGCTTTGTTTACACCCAGAAAGGCAGAGGGAATTAAGGGCGATGGGGGAGAGAGAACAAGCATTATAGATACATTAAAGACATTATTAAACCAGTCGGTAAATAAATTATGTCTTTAAGTAAAATCAAACCTGTCTCAAATTAATCTTTCTTCTATTCTCTGTTATATGTGATCTGTACCTTTCACAGAAATAACACTGCAGTAAATCCTCATTTCAGCCTTAAAGGACTGTTGGTCCCGCCCTTATTTTGACCTGACACGTCCATCAACCCCCAGCGCCAATTTTCTTAGCCAACCAGCTTTCAATGAATATTTTCAGGGCGGAACATTTATGGCGTGATACTTATTTATTTATTTTGTCGATACGTATGTACATTGCACAGCCTGAATAATGTTTATAAAACTGTGACCCATTCATGTTAACAAAGTGCTTTAATATGATGGACAAATGAAGGATTTTCTTCTGCATTACAAATATAGTATTTCTAAACAATGATGTGGGCTAAACTGTGATGTAAATTTCGTGGTGGTGCGATCATGCGGCGAGTCAACGCTGCCACCTAGTGGATATTATTATTATAACATCAGCACACACTTCAGATAGAAGAAGCTTGTTTTGGCATGATAAAAGTCATACGTAAAATATATAGAATGATAAATATAATATTGATTTTTTTTACTTGATTCTTCTAAGTAACCAGTTGTGCAAGACAATAAACACTATCCATGATTCATTAACATTTCGTTTTTAGTCATAATAAGTCAGACATGTTACACTGTAACATTGTCATAATATTAAGTTTGTTTATGAGGCTTGTGAGTGGTATTGGAATGCATCTGAAATGCCACTGACATTTACCCATGGGATGCATATTTGTTAGGGTAGAATAAAAAAAACTGATACATTTATGTTTATGATACAGGGTGTAGTTAAGCTTGTAGGGTACTGTTTTTTTGTGATATTATGTAATTAAAAAACCAAACACATTCATTAAATTAACTTAGAACAGAGCAATTTATTCAGTCTTTCACATTTCACATTAAAATACTTCTGAAACCCTTTCAAAGCCTGAAAACATTGGGTAACGCCATAAAGCAAACTTGTAGGCAGAAAATAAACAATGGATTAAAAGTTACATTAGTTTCATAAAAAGGAATTTTCAGCAAGCAATAATTATAATATTTGAAAGATTAATTCTTCCTGTTTGTGATTTCTCTCCAGAAGACAAGTTCTGATATATATTATCAGTTCTGATATATTATAAAGTAGACTGTTTGTGTATACTAAGTGTATCTTTCTGCTAGCAAGCTTTGGTAACATTTTCAGTCACAACAATCAATCATAATGTAAACTTTTCATTGTTCATATTAGCCTTAAACTTTACCTGTTAACTTGTCTCTATCTCTTTCTCTCTCCCTCTCTCTCTCTCTCTCTCTCTCTCTCTCTCTCTCTCATATATATATATATATATATATATATATATTAGGGCTGTCAAATGATTAATCGTGATTAATCACATCCAAAATAAAAGTTTTTGTTTACATAATATATGTGGGTGCACTGTGTATAATTATTTTATATATATAAATACACACACATGCTTGTATACATTTAAGAAATATTTTCATGTATATACTGTATATAGATTTATATATAATTTATATTATATATAAATATTTTATATATAAATAATATTTTTTTCTTAAATATACATGCATGTGTGTGTATTTATATATATACAAAATAATTATACACAGTGCACCCACATATATTATGTAAACAAAAGCTTTTATTTTTGGATGTGATTAATCGTGATTAATCATTTGACAGCCCTAATATATATATATATATATGCATCCGATTTATATCATCATTATTGTTAAATCATTGACCCTTTTAGAACTTTTTGTTTACCATCTGCATGGCCAACAAGACACGTCATCAAGACACAAATTTGTGCTAAAACAATCGTCTTTAGAGCTACATTTCCAGACCTGATGGCTAATGTCTTATTTCACAAATAACTATCTTCCCTAATGCTACACAATATGTGCATTAAAAAAGAGACCTACTCATTTGACAGCTGACCAAATATGTTTATATTTCAGAAGGTGAATAGCTCAAAAAAGGGAGAAATGGGGAGACTTTTAAAATATATTCATACATATTCTTTGTGAACAGAATATACATTTCTCCTGCCTCTTGTGGTGCAGATATATTATATTCTGACCCTTCCCTTCACCCATAGATGGAATCTCTGGCATGCATGAAGAGTCTAAACTGCATCAATACAAACAAATAAAACACAACTAACACAATCTACAAAAATAGAAGCCAGTAACCATTACAACAAATACCTGTTTTCCAATGAATCTCACTGAACACATCTCGTCTTCTCTTAAACACAGTATACATACATTAATAAATAATTGGTGATAATTGACTAATTGTATTGCAATGCATTTTGACACAGGTGAATATGAACTACAGCATAAAGTGCATGAGACCCCCCACTCTTCAGACTTTGATTTAACATGACATTTCACTATAATTCTAAGGTTTGAGGTTTATGTAATCCAAAAGTACTCAGCCTAGCTCCCGGAGATCTACTTTTCAGCTCATCAAGGTCATTTCAAAACTACATGTGTTAGAGCAGAGGAGCTAAACTTTGTAAGAGGACATATCCAGAAACTGTGATAGCACATTCAAATGTTTCAGATGGCAAAAGTATTTACATACATCATGACAAGTTGATCTGTTGACCTGTTCTCATATGAATAGATAATGGCATTTCATAACACTTACAATGTAAATATTATAGCCTGCTGTGTTTGAGCCAGTGAATTTTAAAAGTTTTTTTTTTTTTAAAGTAAGGACATTCTTATTTCAGCCATAATTTTAAGTTTGTTTCAACCATGTCCAATATTTAGATGCATATTTACAGGTAAATGTTGCACTAAGGGGGCATTTAGAAAAAAGGATACAAGTCAATAGTTTACAAGTCTCATTTCTTGACTTGAAGAATGACAGGAAGCATGATTATGTTGTTGCTGTCTGGCTGTTTAATGACTGTTGTTGTGGTGCTGGCCTGCTGCACACTGCGAGTAATAGGTCCTCCTACTCTCTCCCTCAACCTCAGAGACAAACGGTCCTCTCTTCTGGGCCGTAGCTTTATGTCGCCCACGCCCTGCTCCATTTTTCTACCTAAAACATGTACCCGAACACCCGGCTCCTGAGAATTAACCTGAGCAACTGAGGAGAGGACTATCTTGCCTTTTTTACCAGATTGAACCACAGATGTTGACAGAATGGAAGATCTTTTAAGTCTAAAATCCTGAGTGGTATCAACTGCGGCATCTTGCTTGATGATTTGACTCTTTGTTATTATTTTTGGCCCATGGTTTGACCCTTGTGGCTTTGCACTCAAATTTGCAATTTGTCTGCGAAGGCTCCCGTTGTTCTCCTGAGCTAAAACGATACCGAGTGTTCTTTTCTTGGAGTTTCTACTGGCTGGCCTCATGGGGCAGCTAAAAGCTACATGTTTCTTTAAACTAGCATTGTATGTGAACTCCCTGCTACAGTGAGGACATGCAAAAATGTCTAGGTCATCCTGAGCGAAGGCCTTTCTCAGACCAGCAGGTCTGCCCCTTTGCAACAGCTGAGATTTCTTCTTATTCAGGAGACTCATTTTTATTTTAACTGCCGATTCGTGAAAGTTAATTTTTTTCAGTTGTCCGACCTTTTGAGAGAGATTCTGCCTACCATTAACAATCCTTGCAGTTGATAACACCCCATTTTGTGCTTTTGCAAACTGCTTAAGTGGTATAGGGTTCTTTTTAGGAGTGTAGCGCTTTTTGTCACTAGCATTAGCACAGGCTAAGATGTGCTTGTGCAGTTCGGGCATGTTGTCAAAGCTCTTACCACACTTGGTGCAACGAATGGCTGTGCTGAAGGTCTGAGGGATGTTGTGGGTGGTAAAGTTGGTGGCTGATGCAGCCGTCATCCCAGTTGGTGTTCGATTATGGTATGGAAAAGGAGGTGGTTTGAAACTTGGGTAGTGTTGATTAATGCCTAGACGTACATCTGGGCCTTTTGGTTTGACCCCTCCAGATGCCATGATTTTTATTGTTGTAAACAGCTCTTCAGAAGTGTCCAAGTTGTCCAAGGCATCCTCCTCTGCTTTTAAGGTTATGATGTCAGATTCTTGCTTAATTTCTTTGATTGGAAGGCTTGGATCAGTCATGTCAGTTTTGGGACTGTTATGGTTTTCAGGTCTTAACTTGCCATGTACTACTTCGGTGTGTGAGCACTCTTGACCGGGATGGAGATCTCGTTGATGCTGTTCCAAGTTGCAGAGGAAAGCAAATTCCTTAGAACATGTTTTACAAACATAAATTTTACCGATGCCATGATAACTGGAACGGTGCTCCAGCAAACCTGTGTCACTCTTAAACAACTGTACACAAAATTCACATTTATAGGGCCACTCCTTAGAGTGTTCACCTACGTGTTGGCTGAGAATCTTCATGGACTGGAAGGGCTGTTCACAAACATTGCACATAAAGTTCTTGCAAAAAGTATGCAAGGGAGGTAATTCATCTTCTACTGTGTTTTCCTGCTTAGAACAATCAGAGGACTGGGCTTTGTCCTGTCCCTCTTCTTTGCTCTCTGCTTTTACAACACTAGTGGAAGCCGTGAGGGTCGGTGTACCATCTGTAGAGTTTGATGACTGCTCTATAGAAACCGACTGTGTGGATGGTTCAGAAAGTAGGGAGGTGTCATGACTGAGAGGTTGCGGCTCAGATGGGACATAAGGTTCTTGTTGTAATGCATCGACAGATATTTTATCTGAGAGGCAATGAACAGAATTAGCTTGGAGTCCTGGGAGAATATTTTCTGTAGATTGCAGTGCAACTGTATACTCAATAACAACCGTGTTTGGAGGAAAAGCCAAGGATGCGATGTTGGACTGATTAACAGGCAGAGATGGAGAAAATATCTGTGTGTTAGAAGCTAATACAGAATCTACAACCAACGTTCTTTGAGCTAGTTCACATATGGCAGGATCAGCAACCCATTGAGGGCCTTGTAAAGTCAGGGAAGGGGCTGGAGGTATAAGGCTCTCCAGACCTACAGGAGCAGAGGACACCCAATCAGGGATTGTCACTTTCAAATCCTCCTGTGAGAGATGTACAGGATTATCAGCGCAGTCTTCTACAGACGCTGTGGGTGGTACAGTGTCAGATACCAGGAAGGTTGAATGGAGAGTTTGAATGTCCTGATTGGTTTCCACTGTGGGAGTTGATAGAAAGGATACAAAAGTTGGAGATGAAGAAGATGAACAGTGACGTGGAGGGACTGGGGCAGTTTGATGGATACTGACAGGAGCGAGCAATGGAGGGGTTAAATGGATTGAGGCAGGAGGAAGAGCCAATTCAAACAAAAGCTTTTCAGGGTTTGGTGGACTTGCATCAGACACTGGCACAACTGCAAGGTTTGTTAGGTCAGCACTGACGACACCTGCAGCAGCTGAATCTTCAACAGAAGGATTGTCTACCCCACCATACTCATTCATAAGCACCTTCTGAAGCATTCTAGAGTTAGGTTTATTCTTCCTCAAAGCAGGCTGAGTGAGGAAGACTCCAGTGGAGTCACAGTCTAAACTCTTTCCACTAATACTTAAGTCCAAAATGGACTCCACTAAGGCTTCACTGCTGTCTCGCTTACCCACAGAGTTGGAGAGGTCCAATGGCTGTTGATTACAGGAGTTTCCTCCTGTTCTTGATACAGAGCAGTCCAATGGCAAGATCTGTGACTGCATTTGAGCTTCATCAGAGCTGTTTATGGGTAAATTTAAAGGCTCAATTTCTTCATTGCCCAAGAGGCTCAACTCGTGGCTCTCCGACTTTGACATCTTGGCTTTTGTAGAATCCTGATCTTGATTTTCTACATTCAGATCAGGGGTTTGCTGTTGTGAGCTGGGAGGGGAGGTTGTCCTTCTCTTAAATCTAGTTGTTGTTGCAGGTAAAACAGTCAGGGATAAGGGAGGACCTAGATTGTGGCCATCGGCAATTAACGCAAACGACTGATTACTGCCATCCTGATTCTGCAGGAGCTGCTTGAGTTTGGGAGACAGATAGACAGTTTTTTCCTTGTGAAAGGCAACTGTCTCAATGCACTGAGGTAAATGAGCAGTGACCAGTGGAGCTCCAGAGCCAGAGGACAATGTTAAAGATGACAAGGAAGATGATGAGGTACTCAAGATGGATTCAGACTCTAATTCTGTTTTTATTTGTGGGAGTAAAGGTGGGGTCGACGTCCTTCTTTTGGCTGAGGATTGTCCAGACAGGTCAGAGATGAAACTGCTGTTACTGGTTTCCAATTTAAGAGCTTGTGTAATTTGAGCTGGACTGATTATAACAGCATTCAATCCAATCACAGCAGAGCCCGCAGTGTTCATCTCAATCACCTCACAGTTACTTACAGCACTCGTCGAGACAATTTTCCCATCTATGTAGAAGCTGAGATTCTCTGAAATATTACTGGAGATGTCAACCATGTATTCCTTTTCCTGATCAATGTCCTCTGCACACCGTGGGTTAGGAGTCTGACAGTCCTGTGCTGTCTCAACAAGCTGCTGTCCTTCAGGTTCTTGAGTGATTTTGACCTTCTTATAAACTCCTCTAGGAAGAAGCTGGCACTCATGGATCCTGCGCTGGTGTCTCCTTAGGCTAGTATGAGTCCTAAATGCTTTTTTGCAATACTTGCAGATGTGTGAGGCTTTGAAAGCACGGTTTTTATCATCCCTATGCTCACCATCAGCTGCATTAATGCACTTGTTTGGCTGTGGGTTTTGTGATGTTTTTTTCAAAGGCTCACCACTGCCAGGGACATTCTGACTAGCAGTGCAAGTGGCAATTGTATGATCATTCGTCTTCCTATTAATTTTTTCATGCCTTTTCTCATGCCTCCGACGACTAAACAGCGTACTGAAGGTCCTTCTGCAGCGATTGCATTTAAACCGCTGTGTGTGGCAGGTTGAAAGAGCATGTGTTTGTATGTGACGCTGCAGGCCTTGACTACTTGTAAACCTTCTCTCACATCGAGGACAGGGCAATTTACCCTGGAGTTTAGTACTATGGTCAAGGTCAGCCTTAGTGTCATTTATAGGCAAATCAGTCCTACAATCCTGTTTTATCATTCCAGCATGCTCATGGTCACTTGCCTGACAGGCTTGATTATGATTAGCTAGATTTTGGGACACAGACTGGCTTGCATTCTGGAACAATTGGGTGTTTTGTTTGTCTTTGCAATCCATCTTCTCATTGGTTCTTTCTATCTCTCCCCCTTCTGGCTGCAAGATACTATGAAGTGCAGCTTCATCAGAGTGGTCATCTTGAACCTCAGGTTGCTGAAAAACCTCTGATGGCATACTATGTCTCTCCTCTTCCACAACTGAAATATATGAATATACCAGTGACATAAGGAAGAATTTTTAATTGCTGTATGATTGTATATACCCTGTGCAATCTTTTCCAACATATGTCAAAACATTTCTAAATGCACAAAATGAAGAAACATTTTTAAACTTACTGTCATCTGATCTCCACATCTTCCTCATTGCCCTCTCTAACATTTCTTCTTGGGTATGTAGGAGAGGCCCCCTGTTGGCTGAAGGGGAAAATGAACACATTTTTTGACAAAGATTTAATTTTAGAATGAAGCACGCAAAGACAGACTAACTTAAAAATAACAATCCATAAGAGATATCTCTGTTAATTGCATACTTTATCAGAATTTATGTTTGTGTGAAAGATTAACCAACTGGGTGACAGAGAGTGCAGTTGCTGATTCATGGCATGCTGCAATGTCACTCTTGTCTGACATCTTAAACTAACCTAGGACCCACGCATACAAATATACTCATTCAATGCATTCGACGTGTCTGAAAATGTGTAAACAAAGGATAATTAAATCATCATCATCATCGCAACTTTTCAAATGAAACGAAGGTGGGCAGTTGAGTTCATTACTGAAAATATTTTTACTATTAAAAGCATATCTAGATTGCTATGACCTTAGACAAATATACATAAATTGGAATAACAATACAAGAAGATTGATTGAGCCAAGCATAGTCCAGCAGTGCAGAGTGTTAGGAGCTAAACTTTCTTTTTCAAAGAATACTTACTCTGCCCTTCAATACAAAATTAGCAGTAATGCAAACATACTCATGCAAAACAAAGATACATTTTACTGTGAAAACTGAAGACTGCTGTAACATTGGCTGAGTTGTACACTATCAGTTTAACCAATTTGAAATTCGCTACAGAAGTGAAATTACTATTGTAAATGTCACTGTCATTCTGGGGTTACAATATGAGGATGATAAGTTATGATTTATGATTTGATTTGTGATCATGTTTATAGGTGTAAAATTACACGCATCTGGTATCATCTGAATCAGAACGCTCTATATCAACACATTTTCACCTGCATGTTAAAGATCCTTAAAAATCATGGCTGGCCAGGCAGAGAGGATTGAAACGCTACTTTTCAAAGTATTGTCACTTGATTGTACAAGATTGCACAAAATAGCACCATGTATACATTTTACACAATTCTGAGAATGTGATGTCTATTATGTTTTCTAATGGTTGCTGTGGGTGGTGAGTGGGTTGGCATGTTTGTAAATTAAATTACCACAACAAATCCAAGCACAAAATGTAAAAATAAATAAAAATATTTTCAATTGGTGATGCAACCTATACCCCACATTCTACCAGTATTACAAGATATACATTCAGATGTGGCTGAAGATAAACATACAGGAAGTGAAATCATCATGGGTTCATTTGTAGCCTACCTGTAAGACTACGGAGGTGTGGGTGGGGTCAGATAAATTTACCTAAGCTAATATTAAACAATCCCATTTTACTTCTTAGGATCACAGGGCGTCCTAATGTAGTAAATAGATAACTTATCAATGTCAACACAATGGCAATAGGCACGAGTCTTTGTCTACGATGCTCAAGAAATAACGTAATGCACCCATAACTGCCGCATTCCCGCTGTAGCTACATATGCGGCGGATCGATTTACCACCATGCAGCGGATGTTTATAATATTTTCCAGGCCTATTCGGATTTATGCATGTGTTCAAATTATTACGCAATTACACAACATAAATGCATGCTGTCAGCGATTAGATTCAAGTGTTTAAAGCGGGAAAAATCGTGTAAACATGTCTATTGTACAGTCAAGGCGCACATGTTGCGGGTGTCTGACAGCCCTTTAAATAAGAGAGCACGTTTGGCACTGTCGCTAAGCTCAGACGGGAAGGTCACGGTCAGAGACACACGCTTCACGTTTAAGTGCTTTGACATCCATTAAGTTAGTACGCCTGTATATCCTTGTGAGTTCTACGACGTTATTACTTACAATAAATAAATAAAAAATCATGCGCGCTTAGTCTCGGTGCTAACTCGCAGACAACATAAACGAGATTGACATCGCAAAACTTCGGCAAACCGTTTTATGCCAAATGATTTTGATTAGGTATGCCCCTTTTGGTCTCTGTATTAAATTGGCAATACCTATGTATTGCTTACCAGCTTTGTTGTGACGCCTCGCTGCTTGAGTCTGGTGGGCACGCGCAGGACGGACGCTACTGCAGACTGCACGACTGACAAGGCGCATGTGCGAGATCTCATGCACCTGTAGGCTACAGTACAGTACATGCTACATGGTATATTACACGCAAAGCAAAAGTCTCTTTAAATTATTCAGTTATGTGTAATGAGTCCGTTTTAATTATTAATTTTTAAAATTCTGATCACGACAAATAGCCTATATATTTTCCCAAATAGGCAAAGGGACAACAGATTGGCGTTTTTAATGGCATAGGCCTAATTGGCTTTATGCACAGCTGCACTACTTCCTGAACTTTAGCCAGCTCCTTTGTTTCCTGTCTGCCATTATTGGACAAACTGATTAATCCAGGTGTCCCTGGCCTCAGTAACAATAATCAGGCACACCTGGATTAATCAGTTTGTCCAATAATGGCAGACAGGAAACAAAGGAGCTGGCTAAAGTTCAGGAAGTAGTGAAGCTGTGCATAGAGCCTATTAGGCTATTTTCAAATATTTTCAGGGAGAATGTTTTATTGGCTAGAGATCTTGAAAATATTGTGTTTGTAATGTTGTTGTATGATAATAAGGGAGGCTATTTTTTGTTTAAAAAAAATTCCCTCAGAAATGTAAATGCATGAAAGCAATTTTTAAAAGGATTAGGCCCACTAGTAACACCCACCAATTAAAAAGAAACTCGGTATTATCCACCAACTGAATCTGAAGGAGTGTCATTAATAAAAAATATTACTAATTTAAGCATAGTTTATACAATTACATATTTGTTTATATACATTTATTTATATTATGATATATATTTATTGTGCTCAGTAAAAATTGCATAAACAAAATGTAAAATCTTTTATTAGACTTGTCCAAATTAATTCCAAATTAGGCATCACCCACGATTTGCTGGTGTGTTTTCATCATCCATTGTGTCAGATGACAGCAGAAACAAAGCACACACACTCCTATACAACCTTGAACCGAAATTTCAATTATAGCCTATATATAACGTTGTAGCTAATATAAATGCATTTTTTACTCGAGTGCAAAGGAGCACGGCGTTTATTGCCAGGAGGTGTGTGCGATATTAATGTATGCTATAGACATTAAAAACTATCCAAGAAAAAAAACTTTTATATTCAAGGTCTTTGTTCTTATCAGAATTAAAACGATGCAGCCTGTTCAATTTCAGAAACCCACATTCCTGTAGTTATTACGAGCGACCACTAGAGGCCGCGGTGCCCCAATTTGTACTGATGTAAGATTTTTTTATTTTTTTTATTTTTATTTTTTATTAATGCCAAGGTATCAAAAAATACAAGTAGCCTACAACAATGTACAAATTACATACAGCAAAATAATGAAAGCAATACAGCACATATATACATTGCCTGTATGTATGTTCATACAAAAAATAATAATAATAAAATAAAATAAAAACCGAACAGAATGCTTTAATAAAATAAATTAAAAAGTTGAAACAAGTTTATGGTCTTAAGAGCTTTAAGATTCTTAGATGATGAAATGCTTTGGATGTATTGTTGGACCTCTCTTCTAAAAACAATGAATAAGGGATTCTGCTGAGTAAATTTACTACGGTGAATGTGAAATTTTGCAAGGAACAATAATAGATTAATAATAAAATACTCATTAAATTTAGCTTTTTGTATATTAAAGAAGCCAAACAGTACATCCTTAAAGAGCAAGGAAAAATCCGGAAGCACATTGCGTTTAATAAAATTAGAAAATTCAACCCAAAATACCTGTGTGTGAGGACAATCCCAGAAGATATGGAGAGCAGTTTCATCAGGGGCACCACAAAAAGAACAACCTGTGTCTATATCCGACTTAAATCTTTTCAAAAAAGCTTTAGCAGGGTAACATTTGTGTAATAATTTAAATGAAATTTCTCTAACCTTGTTAGTTATTATGTATTTCAAAGGCAGAGTCCATACTTTTTTCCAATCAATATGATCAAACAGATTCTTCCAATATGAAGCCACATATGGAATTGTTACAAGCTCCTTTTGAAAAAGAGATCTAATTCTGTTATTACGTGATGAAGGATGTGACAAAAAGCACAATTTTCCTACTGGGTGTTCAAATGGGTCTAAAGAAGTAAGAGAAGTGTTAGATGATCTAACAGAGTCCTTTAGAAGCATAACAACTCCTTTAGGGATTGCGTCCATTACAATGGAAAATTCCTTGGGAGTTACTGGGAAATTGAATTTACATAAAAATTCTTCATAATTTAAAATAAAACCTTCTGAATTCAGTAATTGGGAAACAGTCAACACATTTTTCTCAAACCAATTACTAAAAAACAAAGATTTCTTCTTATATACAATATTTTGATTGTTCCAAATGAAGTATCGGTGAGGGGAAAAGTTGTGTTTAAAGATTAAAGACCATGCAAGTAATGCTTGCTTATGGAACTTCGATAAATTGTAAGGGACTCTAGCAATATTATAGTTGCAGACCAATAGGAAAGGGAGACCACCTAATTTTGAAAAGAAGTAATTAGGAATAAAGTTCCAAATTGAATTTGGATTACATAAAAACTGTCTAAGCCAGTTAATTTTGAAAGTGTTGTTCAGAGATGAGAAATCCAGAAAATTTAAACCGCCATTATCATACGTATTCATTATTACCGACTTCTTAACATAATGTATTTTGTTCTTCCAAATAAAATTGAAGAGGATTTTATCGACTGACCTACACATCTTGTTGTCCACATTCAGAGAGAGTGCAGGATATGTTAACCTGGAGATTCCCTCAGCCTTAGCAAGCAGTGTTCTGCCTCTCACGGTCAAGTCTCTCTGCATCCATGCATTAAATCTTCTTTGGGCTTTTACTATAACAGGGTCAAAGTTCAAGGTACATCTGTTATCTTGATTTTTAGTGATCACGATGCCTAAATAAGTAACTACAGGTTTAACTGGAATATTATAAAAGGAGGGTGTTGTGCATTCTTTAATAGACATTAACTCACATTTACTTACGTTTAGATTAAGTCCTGAAGCTTTAGAGAACAGCTTTATACAATCAATTGCTAAAGGGATTTGGGAAGCATCTCTTAAAAATAAGGTGGTGTCATCCGCTAATTGGCTAATAATAACTTCTCGATCTGCTATACGGATACCCTGAATACCGCTTTCACAGATAAACGTTGAGAGTAGCTGCACACAAAGCAAAAATAAATAGGGAGAAATGGGGCACCCTTGTCTGACTCCTCTAGATAAACTAAACCTTGGGGAAGTGCCCTTCTTTAATTTAATCGAACAGCTTCCATTATTGTAAAGAGTTTTAATTACTTTGCAAAACATATCTCCAAAACCAAATCTATGTAATGACTTAATAATAAACTGGTGCTCTAAAGAATCAAAAGCCTTATAGAAATCTAAAAAAAGAATAAAACTGTCCTCCTGTATCAATTCTGAATAATCTAAAAGATCAAGAACCAATCTTATATTATTAACAATATGTCTTTTAGTCATGAAACCAGATTGTGTCTCATCTATTACAGAATCCAAAACAGATTTTAATCTTTTAGCAAATATAAGAGCTAAAATTGTATAATCATTGTTAAGCAGAGATACAGGACGCCAATTGTCAATTAAAAGTAGATCTTTCTTGGGTTTTGGAATTAAAGTAATTAATCCTTGAGTGAGAGTTGGGGGGAGAGTCTCATTCTGTATACTTTCTTCAAAAACCTTAAGCAAAAAAGGGGATAACTTTTCAGAAAATTGTTTGTAGAATTCTGCGCTTAGCCCGTCAGTTCCGGGTGATTTATTGTTTTTAAGTTCTATAATTGAGTTACTCACTTCTAATAAAGTAATTTCACTATCACAGATGTTTCTATCATTTCTTGAGATAACTTTGCAGTTTTTCACAGACTCAAAAAAGGTACCGGTTGCCTCTTCAGAATAATTTCGATGATAAAGATTACTGTAAAAATTAGCGCAGTAGCGTGCAATTTCTTGAGGGTTATTAGTCACTGTCCCATCAATATTTAGAGTTTCAATTAATGAGGTTTTTAAACGACTCTTTTCTAATCTAAAAAAATATGCTGTGTTGCATTCTCCTTCCTCTATCCATTTTTGTCTAGATCTTATAAGCGCCCTGCGCTCTATAAGTGTACAGCTCATCTAATTTACATTGCAGTGCAGCATACTCAACCTTATCAGATTCAGAAAGCTGTTCTTGGGGTTTGGAAGAAAGTGTTGCAATTTTAGACACCACCTTATTTTCTTCTGCTCGTTTAGATTTAGCTAAATTACTACCAAATTTTCTGAAAAATTTACCAATTATAAACTTCAACAGCTCCCACTGGCAACAATATGAATCTAACGCTAAAGCTCTCTTCCAATACTGCTCAATCAATAAAGTAATATTTTTTTTAACATCTTTAAACTGGAGAAGGGAATTATTCAATTTCCAATAAGAAGGAGTTGCGCTGAAATCAAGGGATGCTGAAAGACTAACCTTAAGAGAGACAGCACTGTGGTCTGTAAGAGGCGTAGCATGAATGCTGGTTGAGTTACAACTGCTTGCTAGACTTTGAGAAATAAGCCAATAATCTATACGAGACTGTTTAGAGTGGTCCTTGCTGCTCCAGGTATAGAGTCTCTGCTGTGGATTTGTTTCTCTCCATATATCAACAACACTAAATCGCATCATAAATGTATTCATAATTGGACACACAGAAGCCGCTCTTGAAGGAAACCTATCCAAATCACTATTTAATACCATATTAAAATCCCCACCCAAAATAAGACCAGCATTCGGGTATTTATTTATCCAGTACTGTATATGATCACTAACCACATCCATTAAGGCGGTATTTTCCTTAGAAGAATTATATCCATACATATTTATAAGAACTGAGGTGGTCTGGCCAAGTAAAGTCACTAACAAAAGAAAATGACCCTTAGGGTCACTGACGAGGTGAAGTATTTCACCAGCAAACTTATTTTTCAAAATAGCAACACCTGCTGATCGCTCTGTACCGTGAGACATCCATATATCACTGC